TTATAAACCCCCAGGAAGGATATCTGAATCCCTCCAGTGGAATTATAAACCCCCTGGAAAGATATCTGAATCCCTCGAGTGGAATTTAAACCTCTAGGAAGGATATCTGAATCCCTCCAGTGGAATTATAACCCCCCTGGAATTATATCTGAATCCCTCCAGTGGAATGTAAATCACCCTGCATAAAGTGTTTTTGCAAACCCCTCCAGTGGAAATGAATTCCCTCCGGTGGTCTCCAGTGGAGTCAAAATCTTACTACGAACTTCCGTGACTCGCAAAATTCAGACTATGGGTGCAAAATTCAGACTATGATAGCAAAATTCAGACTTTGAGTGCAAAATTCAGACTATGGGGACAAAATTCAGACTATGAGAACAAAATTCAGACTATGGGCTTAAAATTCAGACTATAAGGGCAAAATTAAGACTATGTGCGCAAAATTCAGACTATGAGCGCAAAATTCAGACTTGAGGGCAAAATTCAGACTTTGAGTGCACAATTCTGACTATGAGCGTAAAATTCAGACTATGAGCGCAAAATGCTTTTCGGAACATGAATTGCATGCATTATGAGATATACTTTACAAATTATGAGTATTTACAAAAAAAAGTTTTGGTAATCAGTTAATATTAAGACAATGACATGCTAATTATGTAAAAATTATATTCTGTTTAAATTATTTCAAATTTTGTAAACTTTTTAGAAAAATTCTAATGCATATAATATGATTCACTTACGTGAAAATTGTTAGATGCAAGATTAAATCTAATTTTCTATTGACAATTTTGATTATTAATTGAATGAAAAGGGGTTAAATCGTTCTTTTTTATCTTTGATCTTAGATCTTTGACATAGGCTGCAGTCTCAAAAATGGCTGCTTTTAGAAAAAAAACTTGTCGATTTTTGAGAAATTTTTACTATTTGTGGATTTAGATTTGCTAATTTGTGGATTTTTAACATTCTAAAGTTGGGTACTCTCTGCAAGTGCAGTTCTCCATTCATGTTGTTCTGCAATGCATGTCATAATTATATATTGTTTACTCGCTGCAGTTCTAACTCTACCTTAGTAATTTCAACAAGTAATTAAAATTACAAAAAATTTCTTGATTTTTGAAGGAACATTCTATTAACAATAATTTCATGGATTTAATTTTTTTAAAGTTATGTTTTTATCTAATCTTTAACCATATAATACAGAAAGTAGAATTAGTAAAATATAATTGAAACAGTCCTGCACTATCTGGGACAAAAAGAAGAAAATGAAAAAATTCCTTCAGACGTGTAAACGGGGATTTCAAAATAGTTCACTAAACCTTTTATGAATTTAACCAATTCAAAAATGTGCAAAATAAATGTATTGATAAATTACTTAAAATGGGACTGTAAGCATATCCCAGCATATCCTGGTTTTCAAGTACCCCAGCAGAAATAGGGTTAACAAATTATGGAAGAAGACATACTATTCACCAACTGACATGTTTCATGTTAAGTAGTTTTTATCAGTTGTGGTTTCTTTACAAGAGTGCTTGCGTTAAAATGTATTAAAACATATAAACTTTAATCCTAAGATAGTAAAGAATCATAATCAATTACTTATAGGTTGATAAATCACAGAATATAAAAAATGAAAATTCCCATTAAAAAAATCCTACTTAAATCCCCTAAATAAAAAATTTAAAATCCTCAAAACTCGGACCAATTTTCACCAAAAGGTTTAACAATTGACACAATCATCTGTGCTAAACATGAGTGTTTAAATTACAGTATTATAGCCATGTGCAGGGGGACGGGGTTAGTTCTCACAGTGAGGATGTAAGGTAAGCAATTCTGAAAACTAAAAGCAGCAGATCAATTAGCCCAATGTGTTAAAGCTATTAAAAAATATTGGTTTCATCAATGCGAGCGAGAGAGAACTACTACGGAATGGTACGACAGTCAATGTATTTATTTTTATAAGTAGTAATAAGAGTTAGAGTAAATTAACATTTTAGAAACTAATGCATATAAATCAATCACAAAATCAGGAATATAATAAACAATTAATTTAATGAAACCACAGGAAAACTGCCAGAAATTGTGTAAAGGAAATTATGTGTGGGGATCTCTAGCGTTAATATTTTGAACTATAAAATACAACATTACTGGTTTCATTAAGAGAACTATAGCTGGTTTACAGACAGAAGTGGGAGAACTGAAGCTTGTATAAACTTAAATTTTTTGAACAATTGAAATAGGAATTTACTGCTTTTTGATTAATTTAAAATTCTTAGGGGGGGGGTTCAATTATGGGGCCCTGAGATACATGGTTTAGTCCGCCCCTTGGAACACCTTTTTAATTGGGAACACCGAATAACTATGTGTTTGTTTACGTGCCGCAACGTGCGTCTGACTCTGAGCCTCTAAGGGGAAGGGGGAAGAGGGGAGAACGGCCGATCTCCCCCCCTCTACAAATACAGAACAACCTACCTAGTACCTATAACATTTCGCTACCTGCCCAATTTGACGGTGTACCGTCCTGACTGTGTCCCAGCACGGCCCTGCCGTCTCGTTTATGTTTTATACTCTGTCCGGACCCGACAAGTGTGGGCCTGGTCAAGAGTCGGTCCAGGACGGGATATTGTGCGGACTGCACCTGCACAAATCCACAGAAAGGTGGGCGTGCGTAGTTTGTACAGTCCCGTCTAGTTCAGGGTTAGTTGCTCTACCGCCATCTTTCGAGAAGAAAGGACAGAAACCTTTCTCAACCCAGTGAATCATACGGTTTATAGTGTACTGCATTGATCCTTAGAACTAGTTATTCGTTTTCTAAACAAGTGAGCATGACAAATCATGTTTTAAGAGAAAACCAGGTAAAACAATGGTGCATTTTCAAATTAAGAATTAAAAACCGGTTTTTGTGTAAATTCTAACGATTATTTTTTAAAGATGATATATCATCCCTGTTTTATTGTCAATATATGATAGCTGCCAGTGCCAATATGCTTACTTTTTTACATTAGATCATCTTAATCTTGAGTTTACATTACATTATTAGGTAATTTCCTAGTATACGATTTTTGGACCCCCCCCACCCTCCTATCAATTTTGTACATGGCNTAACCTCATAAACTATCCTCACAAACTAACCTCACAAACTAACCCCACAAACTAACATCACAAACTAACCTAACAAACTAACCTAACAAACTAACCTAACAAACTAACCTCATAACTAACCTCTATAACTATCCTAACAAACTAACCTTAAAAACTATCCTCACAAACTAACACCACAAACTAACCTAACAAACGAACCTCATAACTAACCTAAAAAACTAACCTCACAAACTATCCTCACAAACTAACCTCTCAAACAAACACCACAAACTAACCTCACAAACTAACCTTACAAACTAACTTTTCTAAATAACTATTTGTTTAGATATGATTCGTGAACAAGAGTGAAAAGTTATTCTTCAAGATGAGTTGGGGTACAGAATTATGGGTAAGAATATTGTAATATTTCCTAATTATTATTTAACTTTTGTTTTTTACTTTGCTTCTTTTTTCGTTGTCTTTTGATATGCCTGTAGTAAACACCTACTCCATAACAAGTTCTCGAACCTATCTATCTAGGTACAATCCGTCCGCTATCAAACTCAACCAGGACTAAATCCCAGGCTCTAAATGCCACACAGGGACACAAGCCAAGCTATTAAACAAGCTACTAATCGATCCCAAATGATGGGGGACGATCAGGTGCTCTAAATGCCACACAGGGACTCAAGCCTAGCTATCTAACAAGCCATATATCGATCCCATATGATGGGGACGATCCGGTGCTCTAAATGCCACACAGGAACACAAGCCTAGCTATACAGCAAGTTTCCACCCCTCCGGGGGGGGGGGGATTTTTTACACCCCTGAATTATAATTTATACAGTAAATGGTAGAAATTAATCAATTTAATCTAAAATAAAACAGCAGGAAGCCTTTTCCTTCGATCTCTCATTCAAACGGTTATTTTCAACATATTTTTTTATATTTCATCGAACCCTATCATTCTGTTTATTTGGGCTTTATTTGGGAAAAAATTAAAAAAAGTAATTTAATGAAGCTTCTTTCAAGTATTTTTTTTTTTGAAAAGACTTATTTTCTTGAATTTTTATTGCAACTGCGATAAATAAAAACTTCATTAGCTCAATTAAATGTAAATATTTCGAATTTCCCCAAAGCTTACAGAACATGAAAACGTAATATTCCCTAAAATATATAATTGGGTCATACTTTCATTTATCAAAGTTGGACCTAATTTAATTATTTTAATTGACACGGAAAGATCAAATCCATAATTATGTTTCCAAATAAGATTTATACTTATCAGTATTCAAGATTTAAATTCTACATCAATATAGAATAACAATATTTGAAATAAATGTTCCTAAAGATATGCATATTTAGAATATTTTATTTAATATTTCAATAAAAAAAACTTTTTGTTCGAACTTCATCATCAAATTAAAATTTTGCTTCTTGAAAACAATTGGCTAAAATTACAATGTTTCAACTGTTAAAGGTTTTATTTTTCCAACTATAGCTTGAAGCCCTTGTTTTGACGGAGATTCTTGTAAAATATTATAATTTGTAAAGTAAAACATGTACTACTGTTTTGCTGTAACATGTTAAAAAATGCTTGGCAGATATTTTATCGTATTCTGTAAGATCAGAATGATATTTTATCGTATTCTGTAAGATCAGAATGGTCAAACATTACATATTATAAAATATTTTTATTTTTTTTGCCTTTTTATTTCAATAAGAAGCAAAAAGACTGATGAGGGCCCTATTTTGTTCTCTTTTTAATCTCTTGGATTTATTGAATAATTTGTGGACTATTATTTTAAATTTCTAATTTGCATTTTTAAATTTTTTACTTTATTTATAACCAAAAAGAAGTAAAAAAAAGGATGAGAATAAATTTGTTCGTTCTTATTACAAATTCTAAAATAAGATTTTTTTTGATTGATTGATTGAATTTTGAATTGATTTTATTGCAGGGGTAAATACATTTTTTAAGAATCTCCTCTTTAAACTTTTTTTTTGTGGGGGGGGGAAGGAAATAAAAATTCGGACGAGTTTTCCCCTGTTCAAAAACTTTTAAACCAAATATTCATTTATATTCCTCAATTAAGCGTAAAAAAAACTGAAATTTTTTTTTCCTCATTAACTAGAGGAAAAAAGGTTGTTGAGAGAATAATTTTACAAGAAAATAGGTCAAATTTTGTTATAATATAAAAAAGCAAATGTGAAGAATATGAAATTTAGAATAAAAAATTCTTTTCTTAAATTATGCCAAATTTTGACCCTGAAAGAAAATATGGTTAAAAAGTCCAGTGCGTAGGATTCGGATCCGTTGGATCCGCATGATTTTGGCTTCCTGGATCCGGATCCTTCAAAATATGCAGGTCCAAGGATCCGGATCCAAGGGGCAAAATATCAACCCAAAACTCAAAAAAGAATGTTTTTCTACTCTCTAAAGCTATAATCTGAACTATTGAAAAGAGAGAAAAGAGATCATAAAAATTTTCTGATTTCTGAATGGTTCATCTAGTTTCAACATAAAATAAGCGAAAAAAATAAGACAAAATTAAAAATTCTGTTGGTGAAAAAAAAATTCAGTAAGTCTTAAAGAAATGACCTGGATCCGCACTGGAAAAAAATGGATCCGCATCTGCATCAAAATTAAATGGATCCTAAGCACTGTTGTCAAAAACCAACTGAAAGCCCTGAAAGTAATGTTTTTTTTTGTAGGATCAGTATGATCAGATAGCGGTGCATACCCAGAAAGGGATAGATTTCCTGGACAAATATTCCGGCTTCCTGGATGCTAGATGTAAAATAGAACAAGAATATGCTTCTAAACTCAGGTATATAATATACGTTTAAAGGGACTGTAAGCTTAATTTTAAGTGACCCGTCATGCAAAGATGAAAATGCCTGATTCACAAGGGTACCCGTTAAACCTTAAAAAATGTGGAAGATAACGTTGTTTTTCTGACTCGAAAAGTGCTAAATTAAATTCTGATAATTTCTCTAGTCTTTCTCATACGCAGGAAATGCGCAAGTCACTTTTGCCTTAAACCACAAAAGAAAATAAACAGGTTAAATAAACAAATACATCGGTGTGATTTGAAATTACGCTTACACTCCCTTAAAGGTTTTGGACATATAGGGTGAATCCAATATTTGGACATACAGGGTGAATCCAACATTAGGACATACAGGGTGAATCCAACATCTGGACATACAGGGTGAATCCAACATTTGGACATACAGGATGAATCCAACATTTGGAAATACAGGGTGAATCCAACATTTGGACATACAGGGTGAATCCAACATTTGGACATACAGGATGAATCCAACATTTGGACATACAGGGTGAATCCAACATTTGGACATACAGGGTGAATCCAACATCTGGACATACAGGGTGAATCCAACATTTGGACATACAGG